AACTTTTCCTCAGAGAGCAGTGAGTTCCGCTGTTCTCCCAACATGTTAGGACCCATTTCTCTCAGGCCAGGCTGTCCCTTGTCCGGGACCACTTACAGCAGGAACAGCACAGTTTAGACAGCGGGAGGCAGGCAGAAAGGAAGACCAGCCAGGTAAAGGCAGCAGAGGTCGAGCAGGGCCACTGAACTCAGGCAACCTTCATGACCGTATCCCTCAGCATCTCTAGTGAAAATGAGACCCACTCAAGAGCGGGACGGAAATGGGACCGGAGCTCTCCAGGAACCGGCTTCTCGCAGGCCCCACCCTTAGGTTCCCAAGCCATGGCTTCTGTACAGGGCTGGGTCACCATCTCCCAGGTAAGGGAAGGAGCCCAGACCCTTCTTCTGCTTGTGGTGTTCAAAACTGTTGACAACAGAGGGTGGACACACCCTGGACAGGATCATGTGATGTGGGGCTGGAGCTAACGCCTCCCTAGGAAGGAGGGGCACAGTCCCCCTCAGGTCTTCGAAACTAGACCCCATGGTCTTCTGGGCTTGGAACAGTGTAAGGAGCGGGCCCCACCTCCAGCCCCACAAGACAAGGAAGGAGCTGAGGAGGAAGCTGAGGGAGGAAGTGTTTGGAAGGAATCATAAACTGTTTCCCAGCAGCCAGAGTTCAGGCCTCTTCCCATCTCCCCTGCCCTTCAGGAAGGGCAGGACAGGCTTACTCCAATGAGGAGGCCTTGCTCACCCGGGCGTCTCTCTGTCAGCGCTTGACTTAGGTTACTGCAGCTCCCCACAAACCACAGTAGCAAAGAAGCCTGTGCAGTTCCAACTTCAGGGCCCTTCTCTGGCTGGGCCTGTGGGCCCGGAACAGATCTGGCCCACACACTTTAAACTCAGGCCTAATAAAGCTCCTTTGGTCCAGTTTTTCTTGTTTTTTTTTTCTTTCTTTATTTTGTGTTAGTGAGGGTACACACAGGTCAGAGGACCACTCTCGGGTTCTGTCTCTCCTCCCACCGTGGGTTCCTAGGATCGACCTCAGTCAGGCTTTCTCTGACACTGCTTGCTCACTGGCCTGGGGACAAGTGTTTTAAGTCACCATAGGTGGAGGGGTCCAAAGACAGGTACTAGACTGGACCCCTTTAAATACAGTTAAGTCTGTATTTAAAGCTCCTCTAGGAGACAGCAACCACCCTCCCCTCCCCCATCTCTTCCAGAGCTACCATGAAGACATGCTTCCCAGATACCAGGAAGGACTCACTGAATGAGGCTCTACCACACCCAGCATTGTCAAGCCTAACCGGACAGCAGAGGCTGCTCCACGACCACACCAGCCCCCTAGAGCTTCCCGCCCCTGGTTCTGACTCCTTTCCTACCCACAGGGTCCCCTCCCCGTGCACTGGTGGTTCTGGGGCCTCCTGGACGGACAACCCATGCTTAGGCCATCTTACGGAATGTTCTGACCCACAGGTGTCCTCACACACATGCACACCACACCGACCTCCTCCAGGCTCCACCCAGACACTGACCCCAGTGAAGTTAGCAAGACCCTCCGGGCTGGGAGAGCACAGGCCTCATGCTGCCTACAACCTTGCTAAGCTACTGCAGCCTCATGTGTACAGGACTTCTCCCCTTCTGAATGCTACCAGAGCTTGGCACAGAAGGCAGGCTCAGAGCAGGGCAGGTGCCGGGCACCTCTGCACACACCAGCCAACTCCCTCCCATCAAGGTAGGAGACCATTTCAAGTCATCTTCACAAATGCTGGCAAAGGCCAGCTAAGTCCTCCTCCGGGCACCAGCATGGCCTTGCCCTTCCCCCTCTTCTCCCTCACAACTGCTTACATGTGCAGCACATCCTTAGGTTGTCATGTGAGCAAACTGGTCTGCAAGGCTTGACCTTGCCTTGTAGATGGAAACGGAGAGGATAAGAGAATCCCTGCTCAGAGTTGGTTATCTGAAGTAAATACCTCAGTATGGGCAGTTCTGGCCGGCATGCTGGTGTCAACTACAGGGGTCTTAACCTGTGGGAACCAAATCTGGCCTTCTCTGTACTTGAGGCAGACTGGGCTTCCCAGTACCCACCCGTCTTCTAAGGCTCTGTGATCCAATATCAAGCAGCTGAGGCTTGGGAGCCGAACTCTGCTTCTCCCCAGAGCTCCATCCTCGGCGGGAAGAGAAGGGCTGTGCAATTCCCTAAGAGGGCTTTCCCTAGGTTCCTCTGCAGAGCTGTACCCACCAGCCCCCTCCACCTGACCGGTCAGAACAAGTGTGAACACAAACACACACACACACACACACACACCCCTTCTCCCTGTTCTAGATACCTAGGAAGGCTAATGTGAAATAAGAGTTCCCTAGGGTCGACAGGAGGGTCAATCCTGTTCACCTCTCTCAGACTGCCTGGTCCACAGTGGGATATAATGGGTCCTCATGAACTGCACTGTGTTGATGGTAGCGGCGGGTGACTCGTTCTCTCCAAACTCTTCAGTTCGCCCCCTCCCCACATCCGCCGCTGAAACCACACACTTGTCATTCTGGTTAACCACCAGCACTGTCCATTGCTTGACCCTGCTCTGGGCCCAAAACACAAGGGGGAGGGGCACGAGGGTGGGTACCCCAGACCATCTGTCCTGCACAAACCTAAGCCCTGGTCTTGCACGACTCCAGTGACTCCTGACCTTGAGAGGCGGGTCGCTCTGACTAGGCCCGCGGACCTGCGGCTCCTCCGCCCCTCGCCGGCTACCACTCCTCCCGCCCTACCAAGCGGAACAAGCCGCGGGCGCGCGCGCGCGCGAGCACACACACAACACACACACTACTACCTCCTGCATGACTCATCATTGAAGCAACAATAGGCAGAGAGAAAGGAAAGGAGGGCGAAGAACTCTCCACCACAACACTGCCGACTGAAGGGTTCTGACGGAGGGCAGGGGGACCAGGAACCCCTGGGAACTGCACATATCGCAGAACGGAGGCCCTCGCAAGCGCCTGGGAAGCTAAGGTCTTTTCCCTTCAGCCTCTATTTCAGCAGCACTCGAAGGCTAAGGACCACAGCCAAAAGGGGTGGGGGGGCCGGATCATAAAACCTTCGTCTATCCTCTCTGAGGGCAAGCCAAAGTTTGCCCTTCTCAACCTGACTTACTCCAATGTGGCCGGGGTGTTGCCAGGAGGGCTCGGGGATACCGTTAGTGGGTCAGGGAGAAGATGTTAGTTGTAGATGTCACCCTGAGATTCTGAGGGTTTCCCTCACTACAGGATCAAAAACAGGAGGATCCAGCAGGAGCCAAGGTGAACGTAGCTCCTCCTACCCAGGGCAAAGGCTCTCCCTGGGAGATGGCCAGCAACCCGAGCCCGAGCCCAACCCGACTCAAGGCCCCACGCCAGCCCCGCCCAGGCCCCGCCCCCGGGCAAGCGCCAGGCGGCGAGGAGGGGCCGGGCCGCTCAGTCCCCAGCGGGAGTGTCCCCCGTGCACGTGGTCGGGGGCGGGACCTGCCGACGTCACCACTCCGTGTAACCAACGGGCTTGGGACGCAGGCACACGCAACATTCCAGCCAAGAGCGGGTTTGAAACGCGCAGACACGCCACATTCCACACCGGCTAAAGCAGGGCAAGGCAGGGGGGCCTGGGGGCTGCCCCCAGCGACCCGCGGGACACTCACATGCACCCAATCAGCGCAGCTTTCAGCCAAACCTAGACGTGCGACCCAGCCCAGCTCTGGGAGGCGGGGTCAGGCGGGGCTGGCCAAGATCATAAGACACGCGATGTCATTTCATTCTGCAAAGGCCGCCTCCGCCCGAAGCAGCGCGTAGATCTGCCGGGAGCGTTTCCCGCACCCTCCTGCCGGGGCCAGGGAATCCGGAGAGCTGCTCCGCGTAGAGTATTCCCCACCCCCACCCAGTTACGCACACGCCCCCTCGTGTGCTGTACAAACACCCGTGTACACGTCCGTTCACCCGCTCTCTCCCGGCTCCGATCACACATCTTGATGCACACACGCACGCACACGCGGGTCTGCCACCCCCACACATCAACATCCCTCTCCCCATCCCCCGGTTCACACATCCTCAATGGTATCCAGGGCGCTGCCCGCCCACACCTAAGGAGCCCCCCACTGAAGGTGTACCGGGGGGTGCCAGGCAGCTAGGGTGGCACCCGCAGAAGCTGGGTCCCTCTTTGCATGTTAATGGATTCATTAATTATTTTCACTGCTCGCATCACTCCTTCGGGACGGCAGCTCTTGCGGGGAGCCCGTGCTCTACCCGGCTTTTTAGGTCGCGCCGTAGAGGGACCTGCCTGCTATTTCCAGTGGGTTTGGGGATCGGGGTCACTGGCCTCCCCTTTTGCCCAGTGCCCCAGGGGCCCAGCCGGGCCGCTCACCACGTGCTCTCTGTTGTTGCTGCGCTTGCCATTCCAGGAAGCGGGCCGCCTCCAGTAGCGTCTCTATGCTCATCGCGCCGAGAGCAGCCGGGGGCGCGCCGGGGCCGAGGCTGCCGCCCGCGAGCCAAGCACAGGTCAGGCTGGCGGGCCGGCAGGAGGGAGGGATCACCTCCGGGGGGCGACAGGGCTGGGCGGCGCAGCGCACTCCTCAGAAAAGAACGGGGGAGCACGGGGAGAAAAATCAATGTCTTCCAAAATATTTGCAAAATAGGAATTTGCAAATTAAAACAATTTTGATGCAAAAAACAAAAAAGGCGGCACTGCCTTCTTCCTTCCTTCTTCCTCTTCCTCCCTTCCGATGCCTCCCGCCCCGCGGCCCCCGGAGTCCCGCCGACAAGAAAGGGCTTTGCAACAAGATGGCGAGGAGGCACCGACACACACAACAAGGGAAGGAGCCGCGCTGCCCCCGGCCGCCGCCCCCGCTACTACACCGGGGCCGCAGCCAAAGCCCGGACCGGAGCCCCCGCCCGTAGGGCCGCGGCGTCTCACTGAGGGCGGGGTCGCGCCAGGGATAGCCCCGCCCACCGCGCGCGCACACGTGGCTTGGGTGGGGGTGAGAAGATGGAACCAGGCTTCCGCGCTGTTTCCGCTTTCCCGCCTTGCCCCTCCCTGCTCCGCGGCCAGCCACAAGTTAAACGGGGGTTGCGTGCTTGAGGCATTCACGACGAGATCTGTTTTGCTGAGAGAAAGAACGGGAAACCCAAGGCTTCTGTGGGCTGAGACAGCGGTAGTACAAGTCAGGGAAACCTACGATCTGACCCTTAGGTCTCCCCGCCCCACGTAGACACGACCTAAATCCTGCAGCGGTCCGGTCTGTCGCAATTCCCCCCGGGATCCGCCCCTGGGCGGAGCTGACAGCAAGCAGCTAGAGTACTGACAGAGGGACCGGAGAGCTGATCCCGTTCCGGATTTTGTCTCTGTTCCTCCCCCCGCAGTGCGTTCGCATCCTATTAGGCTACATCACCAGGCCGCCCGCCAATGGGCGGGCAGGACAACACGGCATGGAGCAGCTCCACATGGACACCCCGCGCCGCCAGCCTTCTGTTTAAAGGGCCAGTGTCTACAGGGTCGTTTTAGCGGGTGCGGATAAGGCCACCGGGTGAACGTAGGGTGAGACACCTACAGGGGAATTCCGCAGTCCTGCTCAGGCCCATCCCCTGCTTTACATCACCCTCCCATTCAAAACCAAGTATTCCTTTCCTTTCCCTGAATTCTTTGTCCACTCGTGTTTGATATGGGCGGAGACTGAGAACGTGCCATTCCAAAGCACAGCCTTCGTTGTGATGCCGGGACAGCAGTGGTCAAAAGGCGAAGCGCCCACAGCCCAGGCCAAGGAGGCGTAGTCTAAACCAGGAACAACAACGTGGAGGGCGGAAGCTGCGCCCTACCCGGGCTGCCGGCTGTGCGCGGGGCGGGGTCGCTGCCTTGGGTTGGAGGCGCGCTCTCTCCTAGGCTCGCCAGCCAGCCTTTATCCTGGTTCTAGGGCTTAGGACCGTCCATGGGTACAATCAGAAAGATCTCTGAAGTCAGCTTGCCCAAATCATTGCACTTCACAGATAAGAAAACTGAGGCCCAAGAAAAGGGACGATTCCAACTGCTCCTTGTGCCGTGAGCAACTAACTATTCGAAGTCAGGTCTGAGGCCAGACTTCTCTCACCACCACCTCGTCCTGTACCCCACGCCCCGCAAAAAGTGAAGGAGTATTAAACTACTGTGCAGAGAGGGGTCTGATTAGGACAACAGAAACGTCCTATACCTAAAACCCAACCACACTGTTTGGGTTCTTTGGTGGAAGCCACACACATTCCATTAACAGTGAAAAGCACAGGACTATTATGGGCACCATGGAGATGATCCAATTCTGTTGTCCCAGTGCTAGGCATACACACTTCCCTGTTATTGTCTCAAACTCCTTGATTAGCCAGTGCGGGAGAGTAGATATACCAGTGCTTTCAGGATCTCGGGCTCTATCACACAACACCCGAAAGTAGGCCTCTGAGACCTTAGAGGCAGGCCACCTTGACAGCCCAACCCACCCACACCGTGCCCTTAAGTGTATGTATGTACCTGCTTCAAGGGCTGCCAGCACAGCCAGGATCACAGAACAAAAGAAGCTTAAGGGTTTCTCTTCCCCTTAAGGTTATCCTAAAGACAGACGGACTCCCTGCACAGCTGAATGGAGCTTTGATGTTGGTATGTTGAACTGTGTGTAGTATGTGGAACTGAGCATGAATCACCCTTCCACAAATGTCTGGTGTCACCGACTTCATGAAGCTGGAGTAAACCAAACCATGAAAGCCCAGTCCTCTGCAGGGTAAGTAGCCTCTTCCTAAGACTATAGGGGTGCTAGCTCTAACCCAGTTCCCCTCCCTGGTGTCAGCTACCTGCTTTGGGTGTGGTTGGGTCTGACCTACTACAGAAAATGGCGATGATACAGATGCAGCTGGTGGAAGGCCTGAGATGGTACTACCATTTTTGCATGGAGCCAGCACCATAGCCTTCACTCAGACTGCCACTTGTCCTGTCTTCCTCGAGTGGCCAACACCTGGAGTCTTTTCTACTGGTCAAAGACCAGTGCTTCTACTCTTGTGAGGGGCCTGTTCTGTGACAAAATTACTCTTCTGAGCAGTATTTTGAAAGCACCTGTCTTCTCAAGGGAGAGGAAGCGAAAGTGGGGTGAATACAGACTTGATGGCTGGCCTTTCCCTTGCCCCCAATACCCCATCTGCTCCAGAGCTTAGTGGAGATGCTTGCTACTTAAAACAAACAGCCTGACAGGCTTCACATGATGTTTATTTGGGTCACATGGGGACAGCAGCCAGGGGATGTTAGGCAGAAGCAAGGATTTAGAAAGGCTTTTGCTGGGCCTGTTGTTGCCTTTAGGAGCCTAAAAGTGGCCACCAGAATTTCTCATCAAGCAATGTTTCTGGAAGTTTAGGAGTGGGCAGTGGGAGTGGGAGACACCTAGAAGGAGGCACAGTAGAGAGAAATGAATGGGAGGGCTGTTTTAACATGTTTCAGTTTCCTGTTTTAATGGGTGGAGCCAGGGTATAAGTTGGCAAGCACATTCATTCAAGAGAAAAAGTCTTTTTGATGTTTCAGCAAAAGCTTAGCAGGTTTGGAGAATGATGCCAGAGCCAGCCATCTCCTAATACTTATTCTTCAAGTCCTGTTATGGCTTCTAGGTGCTGAGGATGTCTGGATCAGGACGGCAACAGGATCTTCCACCACTGTGCACTTTTTCAAACTTCTTCCTCTTGTCTTGTGCACCTCAATATCTAATCCACACCCCATAGTGCACCCTCCTTCCATGTCTATACTGGCTGACTTCCCATCTTCTCACCATTCATCCCAACAGAGTCATACATTGACAGCTCCAAGTGCTATGTGAAATCACTTCCCTGAACACTTCCAAACAATAAGATGTGGGAAAGAGTATGGAGCTAAATATATGGATATTCACAGTGGATCCCAGGAGATGCCCCAACCTTTCAGCCTTGACCTGGTACCTTTTACTAGTGGCTTTAGGTAACTTTTCACCAGTCATAATTAACACAAGAAGGGAAACAGCCAGCTATAAGATAGAGGACATCAGACAGCTATGCCTAGGGACACACCAGGTAATACTCATTTAACAAGCACGTGCCAGACAACTGGCTAAGTATCTTTATAGGCAAGGCCAGGTGATCTTTGGTAAGCGGAGTGGTGTAGGAAGTGAGAAGGTGGCATTGACTACTACATTTCTACTGGGCAGGGTTCATTTTGCTCTCCCATACTGGATGCAGCAAGGGATAACACAATGACACCAGGCACCTAAGGGCTATGAAATACTAAGTCAGGCTCCCAGCTCTTAAATTCTCCAAAAACATAAAAAGAAACCAGTAGCCAGGCGGTGTTGGCACGTACCTTTAATCCCAGGACTCGGGAGGCAGAGGCAGGTGGATCTCAGTGAGTTTGAGGCCAGCCTGGGCTACAGAGCAAGTTCCAGGACAGCCAGGGCTACTCAAAGAAACCCTAGCTCAATAAAACAAAAGAAGCAGTCAGGCATGGAGGCTCACTCACAACCTCAAGCAGAGGAATGGTTTCCCAGTTTCAAAGCCTGCTTGAGCTACAGAATGACTCTGTCTCCAAAACAAATCAAATCATCAAAGAAATTGAGGGCACTTAGGGCTGGGTAACACTGAACCCAAGTCTTTGTTTTGTTTTTGAGACAGGGTTTCTCTGTGTAGTCCTAGAACTCACTCCAGACCAGGCAGGCCTCAAATTCAGGGATCTGCCTGCCTCTTGAACCCAAGTCTTAACAAAGCCATCAAGATAATTCTAAATTCCTGACAGGTGTACCCTGAAAGGTTATCTGACCGGTCATCAATGAATTGGTTCCCCAGCAGTCTGTACTTCCCGTCCCCACTTCTCAGCACCCACCAAACAGGTACAGTTGAGTTTCTCCTTCTGCCTAAAGTACTTCCTCCCAGCACGTCCTCATTGGATGTCATAGCTGATGAGTTGTGACTACAGGGTCTAAGACCCCAAGAAAAGGTATCTTATCAAAGGTCACCAAGCTGTCAAATTGTGAAGTGGCCTGATCACCTTCTCTGTCTGCCAGTCTAATCTGGGCAAGTACCATGTGTATGGGGTCCAGAGTCCCTGCCCAGTCTCCCGGAAGTGAGTGAACAAGGGAAGAAAGCACACATACATGTGCACACACTGCTAGAAACAGATAATCATTAACTTTGCCTAGTGCTGCTCCAAACACAGGTTAGTCCGTGAAAGCCTTGGGGGAACCTCTAACTGGGCCTGGGAAGGTGACAGGGAAAAGGGTAGACTTTTATCCAGGCACCCACCCTGGGTGTGAACACTGAGTAATAAAGAAAGAAATGCAGTTCAGAAACAAGAAAGGAGGAGCTTCATACTAGGCTTTTTCTTTGAGAGGCCAGGGGGCAAGCCTTGCTGTCTTATCTAGAGTTGGAGCTGTGGGTGCCAGGAGGTAGGAGAAGCTGATCCACTGGAAAGGCATAGAAGCATGAGGACTTCAGACATTCCTTTGAAGGAAAAAGGATGTGGCTTCCTGGGAGTCAATTAATTCAGGTCAAGGGAGTGGGGCTGGGCAGTTATGAGTAAAGAGAGGTGGAGTCGTGCAATGTGAGTCAAGAGCCAGCTGGATCACTGGGGTGTGGAGATGTGTTGGGAGATAGGAACTCCTCTCAAGGCAGAGGGCTGGACTGCAGTCAGTGCCTGTGAAAGGTCTACCATCCAGTTCATACCCAAGAGGCAGGCAGTGGGATCAAGTCTCCACTGGGCAGTGCTGGAGCCACTCTGCAGAGCTTAGTGGCCACAAGCTAGCTTGAGTTTCTACTTCCACGTTGGGGTGGGGTCAGGTGAGAGAACATAGTATACATCTCTATTCCCTAGTCGGCCCTGCTCCCTGTCCCCACTAGTGATCTTAGATGGGGCTTTATTGGCCATTTGTGAAGCCAATCTGTAATAACTGCACCATTGTCAAACAGATCCTTAAAATGGATACCTATAAATTGCTAAGTATTGTATGAAAAAAATGAAAATAAAACAAGCTATAATGAAAAATAGGCAATCATTTTCTACTCCAGAACAATGGAGTTTTCTACTCACAAAAGCAAATAAAACAAATATAAAGGCCCAGCGTGATGGATTTGATTATCTCTAGACATTTCTAACTGTAAAAATAAAATCATCATTAAAGGTGGAGAAGAAATGATAAAATGGAAGGAAGTCTTACAGTGGGAATTTTCAGTTTTCAATAAAGACAAAAATCTAGATTTTAAAGTAGTACATGCATGAAATAATAGCACATGCGTAGCTGAAGAGACCCTGTCAGTCCCAAAATGAAATTCAAACAATGGAACAATTTTTTTGGCCTATCAATTGATGAAGAATTTTTTAAAAATAGCCTTCTGGGGCTGGAGAGAGAGCTCAAAGGCTAACAGCATGAGCTGCTCTTGCAGAGGATTGAGTTTAGTTCCCAGCATTCCTATCTAGCAGCTCACTCCACCTCTGGCCTCCTAGGGCACCAACACTTACATGCACAGATTCAGACAGACAGACAGACCCAACTAAAAATAAAATGAATCTTTAAAAAAAAAAAAAAAAATCAGCCTTCTAAAACTATCAAAGGTATGGCAAAAAAAAACCCCACAAAACACCACTTATTCATGGAAATGTACATTAGCCTAGCTTTTTTTGTGAGCAAACTGGGGAAGCATATTTTCTGCCTTGGCAACTCCAGGTGAATTTATCCTACAAAAAGAAAACTACATTAAAACTTTGATACAAAGACATCTGCTAAAATATTGTTTACAGCAGTTAAAACCTTTTTCAGGACAATCTAAAGCTCCAACTAGGAACAACCGGCCGGGCACAGTGTGCTTCCAGCACACCAGAGCAAGGAAGGAGCAGGATGCAGGCACAGAACCAGCAGTGGCTGGCTTCAGGCAGGGTGGTTACTAGTAATTCTTATTTGCACAGCTTCCCTTGAAGCAGATTATTAGCCTTCTATTCAGAAAGAAAAATAATAAATAAATCACAATATACTGCTAAATAAAAGATTATAAAATTATAATTAATGTATAATATGATTGACCCCACAGTTGTTTAAAATGCATATGCATACAAACACGCTAAGACAACAAAATGTAAAATAATTTCATTTGAGTAGTGGAATTGTAGGTTATTCATTATTTTCTAAATTTTTATATGAAAACTTATTACAATTATAAAATGAAGTTGTAGAAAGGCTGGAAATACGGTAGCATGCCAAGGCTGTGGGCAGGAGGGGAATGGCCCTGGAAGGGAAAGCTGCCTTCGCTCTGTTCAGGAAAGCCATCCTTTCTCTGGGACGTCATGAAGTTTGATTTCCCTGAAATGAGCCTGTGGCACCATTCTCCACTCTACTCTCTTCTGAAAACTCCCCTGTACAGGTTCTTTTCATCTCACCGCACCGGATCTAAATCCACCCTGCTGTCCAGCAGATGCTGCCTACGCTGATAATCCAAGTTCAGAACCGTCCAGACTAGGGCACAATGGGGTTAACTCACAGAAGTGGGTGCCGGAAGCCTGAACTAAGAGAGAAGTACACATAATAAGACTTACGGATAAATCCTTGGGGATTAAGGAGTAGGAAGGGCCCCATTAAGAGGGTAGGCAGCAACCAAACTTCAGAGGTCAAGTGAGCAAGATTAGGAAAGGCAGAGGCAGAAATAACTGTTACTTGGTGGAGGTCACAGACTGATGTTTTACTACATGTTATTTTTTTAAATAAAGTGGTGAGTTACCACGATTCACAATTAAGTAGGATTCAAATAAACCTAGATTTTTGGCTTCCCTCAGAGCACCCAACAACATGGTACCACTCAGCTCATCAGCAGATGAGAAAAAGCCACTCCTTGCTAGTGAGTGAGGGCTGGAGTGCACCCTTTCTTGCTTGACTCCTGCCACATGAAGGAAGAACAAATTCCTTGTAAATGAAGATCCAATACAAAGCCCAGTCACACACCCACCCTTAGCCGACAAGGCAGGATCCTGGTACACCTCTGTCAGACAGAGCGGGGATCCTACCTCAGACCAGGCTGACTCCCCCTCTACTAGGAAGAAACTCCAGCCTCAGGCACAGTCCCGAGGGTTCCGCTCCCCAGTAGGATGCTCTTTTTAACAGTTTGGGGGTCCACTATAGCTACAGCATCCAGCCAAATCCCCAGCTGGGCTTCCTTGGCTTTCCTTCTGAACCCCAAGGCCATAATCCCTTTTGAGGGTCAGCCTCACCTCTGTGGTTCCCAAACTACAGTTTCTCTCGCCAACCTGGGAAGAGAACTTATGATTCTCTCGACAGCCCTACCTTCTCTGGCAAGCTTACACAGCACACGTGTTTTGTGTAGTTCCACAAGTGAAATATTTGGAAGTGCGGTGTTTAAAACAGAACAAAACCTCCCTTCTATTATTATACAATTAAGTATTGTCATTACCTAATTATCAGTTATTCCACATTGATTCTGCTCCAACGGGCTTTCACCAGACACTTTATTTTGTGGTTTCATTAACTACTTAATTATCTACATTACTGCCAAATACAAGATTCTGTGAAGATTTGGTGGCATAAATTAAGAACTAACTGTAAGTAATTTCACTTACTACATCTCATTCATTGATCACAGGCAAGAAAATGATACTACCTTAGTGCTGAACTATGAAGGGGTAAGTAAGACATGTTTGTTCTGGCTTCCCTGTGTTATGGAATTAAAGTCTCTTCCTGCAGAGGCGGAGCAAAGGGGCCTGAAAGTACATTTTTACCATAAGTACATTATTTGTCATAGAATTTCTAGATTTGGCAATATAGCTCAGCCTTAACTTCTTGGACCCGAGTTCAAATCCTACCTCTGTACCTTTGCTCAGTGAATAACATTAGGGCAAGTTACTTAAGCTTTTGAAGCTTCCGTTACCTTCAGCTGCCACACAATACCACATCACCTAAAGGTTACTAGATGAGCCAATCTCTGTAAAAGACGGAAACCAAAGGTCAGTTCCTAATGTCTCCATAAAACAGAAGCTGGCTTTCACTTTTGGTCAATAGGTAGTACTCTATTTAGCACTATTTAGACAGGTTTAATTAATGTCTTAACCTTCTCAATTGAGTCCAATGGCAGGAGACTTTCTGACCAAAATTCTAAAAGGCTACACAAAGTAAGGAGAGAAGACAAGTCGTAAGTGTCACTGTCCCTGAACTCCCCTAGATCCTGAGTCCTTCTCTCACTGGCATGGTAGTCTCACTTCTCACTCAGCAGAGCGGGTAGCCCTCAGCTCTCCCGAGGCCAGCCCAGTCAGACTGGCGTCCTATGTAAGGAGTGGGGTAGCACTGCAAACCCCGGGCTGAGGAGCTGCCGAGCCTGTGCGCTCTCCCACTGTTCACTACTGGGGTGAACAGTACCGGGAAGCACATGCTGCCCGCCCTCTTCTAAGCATTGGCTCCATGGCACATCTGTCCAGTGTAGCTGGACTTCCGTCCTCTACCTTCTTTTCTTTTCAGTTTCCCTGTTGCTAAGGAGTACCCATGATCCTCTACCTCCCAAGGAGAGCCTACAGGCCCAGAGATTTCTGCTTGGACGGAGACAGGCAGATAGGCTCCATCTCAAAGAGGTAAAAGGTCTTCATTCAGTCACAACATAGCTTCCCAGAGTAAAAGCACAGACTCACAAAGGCAGCATTAGCTGTTCCAACCAGCAATTAAAGAAATGAACCGCTGTTTTAGTCATTTGAGTGAGTCACAGCAGATCTTTCCAGAACAGAATAGGATCTCAGGCATGTGTAAATTCTATTGCTATGGGTGCCCTGAGCCAGGCGTTTTAACACTACAGTGATATTCACACAAGGCATATGGGATGATTAGCATCTTTCAAAACCATTAATGCCCTCCTTCAAGAGGTAAAAGCCGACTATTCTATTAATGAACATGACAGCAAATGAAATCTGAGCAGCAAGTCCCCTAGAAACAACGAAGTCACGTTCCTCTCCTTAGGGCACCCCTGGCTAGCACTTCTGAGACCTCTCTTTACTCAAAGAGCAATAACTGAAGTTTTGCAAACGGGGCAGAAGGGTCACAGCAGATCTTCACTTTGTACCATAAAGTGAACAGGGAGCATTTCTCCTTGAGCCTACAGCCATACAGGGCTAGTCATATGCATGCTCTGATCGATACAGAAACATTCTTCTAAGAAATAAGGCCCGGCTAGTTTATATAAACATAAAACAGAGAACCCTCACAACTTTTCATATGAATAACTCATCACATGCATGTTAGCCTGCCAAAAGATCAAATACAAAGCAAAATGAAAATGCATTTCTCTAGGAGATCTATATCTTACTAGTCCTGAAACAAAGCTTAAAAAAAAAAATCTAAAGGACAGGCCCAATATGAGTACATTCTAGAATAGAAAGATGTGACAAAAAGGCTGGTCGGGTGAAACTATAAAAAAAAAAACATAAAACATAGCCGGGGGGTAGTGGTGGCACACACCTTTGATCCCAGCACTTGGGAGGCAGACAGGCAGGCTGATCTCAGTGAGTTCAGCCTGGTTCACAGAGCAAGTGCCAGGACAGCCAGGACTATACAGAGAAACCATGTTCCAAAAAAAAAGTATAAAAAGTACAGGTAGTGATTTTTTTTCTTCCTTATACTTTCACTTTAAAGTTTTTAAGTGAAAATGTACCATCATAAATACTTATCTGGGTACAACTGAGTATTTCTAGAAAATTCCACAGACACAATTTCATCCATTCCCATTCTCACAATGAAATTCAGGATCGCAATTAAAGGGGCTGAAGGTGCCCCCCGTGTGGCTTCAGAAGAAAGTGCTTCAAATGAGAAAGACCAAGGGGCTCCCACAGCCTGTCTCTCTTGCCCCCTCTCCCTGAGACAGGGTCTCCTACAACTCCCTCTGGCCCTGAACTCACAATGTAGACAAGACCAACTCTGAACTCAGCCTTGAACTGCTGATCTCCTCCTTCCACCTCCCAAATGCTGATCACAGGTAGGGTCACCATACCCAGCACTCACTTCCTTCTCTTCAAAGTGGGGGGAGGGAGCCTAGGGATGTAGCTCAGTTGGTACAGTACCTGCCTTGCACTAACAGAACCCTGGGTTCAATCTCCAGCACCACAGAAGACCAGGTACGAAGGCAACATCTGCAATCCCAGAAACAGGGAGGTGGAGGCAGGAAAACCATGAATTCAACGCCAACCTTGGCTACCTTGAAAGTTCAAGCCCAGCCTGAGCTTCATGAATGAGACCCTAATTCAAAAACAACCAAACTAAAATAAAACAAAATGGCCTTGGATGGCTTTTGCGTGGGATGTTTACATCTTTTCCACACCTGGCCATTTGACTATTCCTGTCAGACACCAGAAGCTTTGATTTCCACCAGGAAAAGAGGTTTTGTTTTCTAAACTCTATTAATCGACCAGAACCCTTAAGGTTAGCTGACTCTTCCTCCTCCTCCTCCTCCTCCTCCTCCTCCTCCTCCTCCTCCTCCTCGGAGCTGCCAACAGGTAGGGTGAAGGAACCAAACCAACAAACCCAAGCCGATTCTAAACAAAAGCACCTTGTTCCCTCCGGAAAACAAGTTCAGCTCTGTCCCGACTCCAGCCATCGGGGAATCAGAAGCCAACCAGAGAGCAGAACAGAATTTAAGATAATACCACAGAGATTCGATTTCATATCAATCCACCAACACCAACTTGACCTCCAGACATGTAAGCAGAATGCCACTCAATACTGTGACACGTGAGCAATCAATTTCTTTAAAAAGCTTCTCTTTAATTACAAAGCACATGTATAATATGTCCATTTAAAATGTTTTCAATGTCATCTCAAACGATGTTAGAAAAAAATAATGTTCAAATGCAAAGGTACTCACAGCTTTAGTTTTTCAAAGACTGTGGACACCACTCTTGTCAAACTTTTTTTTTCCTTCCCATTCTAAGATCATTATCTTAACACCTATACAACCTGCTCCATAACAAGCCTCAACCTTAGGGCTGAAACACACATAGACACAACAGATACAACTTTTGTATCTCTATTAATGTTCTCTAAGAATCTCCAGGAACTAGACTTAAACAAAGGTCAACACTGTGCCTGAAGGGCATTTTGAATGGGCAAAAGTGTGTGAAAAAAAATACACAATTATCAGGGATTGGGGATTTAGGCCCTGGGTTCGGTCCTCAGCTGGGGGGGGGGGGGGGATTTCTAAAAAAAAAAAAAATACAATTATCAAAACATGAAAAAATTTCTAAGTTAAACAAACAAACAAAAAGTCAACAGAAAGTCAAAATTCCAATATAACTACAATCCAAATGAAGCACACACACATTTGTATCACCTACATGAAGACTGGGAGAAAACACAAACTACTAACACAGCTGTGAGAAGGCTGACACCCTGGGTAACTGGTGTGTCTGTTTTGTAATGCTAATGATTGAATTCAGGACCTTGTGTTTGCTAGGCACAGAGTCACATCTCTAGCCACTTGTTTCAAAATCACTGAACATCTGCCAATTTATGATGAGGAAAACATTTATTATTTATTGAATATCCGCCAGGTATTCTGGCACTTAACTGCCACTGAACTCAGAGATCCTCAGATTTTATCAAGAAAACTAGATGTGGGGACTGAGGACATAGCTCAGTTGGTAGAGCATTTTTGTCTAGCAGGCAGAGTCCTGGGCTCAATAGATCATTAGCACCACATAAATCAGGCTTGTACTCCCAGCACTCAAGATAAAGATACTGGAGGAAAAAGGATATTAAATTCATCTCAGTTACACATGAAGTCTGAGAAGACATAAGACCATGCCTCAAAACCTTCAACAGGGCTGGGGAGATAGCTCAATGGTTAAAAGAATGCACTGTTCTTGCAGAGGACCCAGCTTGGATTCTAGGACCCACATCAGGTGGCTCACAACCGCCTGTAACTTCAGGTCCAGAGGATCTGATGCCTCTGCAGGGACCTGCACTCACAGACACAGACACAGACACAGACATAATTACTGGATGGAGGCAATCTAAGGCCTGCATTCAATCTGGGCATGGTTGTGACCCTGAACACTGGTTTCTTCGTGCTGTCAAATGAACAGATGGATAGGTTACAACGGTGCTTCTTTTCCTCAGTTGGTTTCTGGTTGCTATGTCATAGATCAGATCTCCAGGGGGAGGGAGTAGGGAGAAGACGACATAGTCCTAGTCTCTGGAAGACCATGGCTAAAATGTTCTTTCCCAGCTTTCAACTCCACTGCACCATTTGTATTTATTAAGCTATGCCCCCAACACCAATTTCTGCTAATCACAGCCACCTTTCAAAAAGGGAGCTTAACTACTCAGCACAAGTCTTTATGGGTGCCAAAGAGCTCAAGCCCTATACCAGAGTCTGTCCATATAGAACCCTAGGCTACTAGTCAAGAATCCAGCACAGCAGACCGTTTCTGAGACAGAAAAGAACAAAAATGAGACTTCCAGAGTATCAGAAAACCTCGGCATTCCCATTACAAATGTGTTTCAGACATTGTTACCCTGGCCTCGGATAAGCAGATAAGTAGACAGAAAATCCACCAAAAAAGCAGGGTTTGGTCAATAAATTAGCTGGCCACATCAAAGACTCCACTTTACACCACACCAATACCTGTTGAAAATATAATCCAGGAGCCGAGCAGTGGTGGGTCATGTCTTTAATCCCAGCACTTGGGAAGCAGAGGCAGGTGGGTCTCTGTGAGTTCAAGTCTACAGAGTGAGTTCTAGGACAGCCAGAGTAAAACAGAGAAATCCTGTTTTGAAGGGGAAACAAAACAAAAAAAACAGGGCCTTCATACATCTAGGTAAATGCTCTACCACAAAGATACACCCCTACACCCTACCTAGAACACATAGGACCTTACTTAGTTTCTCATTTGTCACATCAACCATTTACCCGACTCAAGTTCCAGAAAGTATTTCCCCAATTTCAGGATTCACACAGGACGACTAGTTTTCAATTCTGAAGTCTTATATTAAAAACCAACAGCTGCAGGACAACACTGTCAGTGGGCTGGAGGAGGGAGTGGGTACATTTTGATGTGCCTCAGCTCCTTCTTGCTTCCTCAGTTCTGCTTCTGACATAGGCCGTGTCGGAAGAGCAGCAACTGAGGACTGTGCTGCTTCCCTGTGTCCCCAGACTGGCCCTCTCCTTAGTCTAAGACATCTCTCTGTGACAGCCTGGCCACCTACCCCAGGCTAGCTCCTTTCTGAGGGCTGGCTCAATCAACTCTAGGTACCTGAGAAAGCAGGTGTCTTGAAGGCAACGATGAGCATTCCCAGACCTCTGCTCTGCTGTACTGCCTCCATTAACTCCATAACTCTTAGTGATGGACATGTTCTAGGCAGCACTGACCCAGACCAGAGTCACAAGCAGTGCCTCTGGCCTCAGGGAATCCGTGCCAGGCTGCGATGAACTACTCGAGTAGGATCTAGTTCCTCCTAAGTTTATCTGCTGTTACAATAGTCATAATTCCTCTTGAGCCACTGTACTATACATACAACTCCAGATATGTTTAAGAGGGGAAAGGTTAAAAATTGATTCATTTCTGCTTTTCTTTTTTCTTCTTTTTATTTAGACAAGTGTCTTTCTCTGTAGCGTAGGCTGACCATAAACTCACAGCAATCACCCTACCTCAGCCTTCAAGTATTGGGATTGTAAGTGTTAAGAGAACACATTCAACTGCATTTCTGCTTTGTAACATGATTCCACATGGTGTCACTAATGGACCAATGCTGAAATTCCTCTGGCTTCCCAATGAGCTTTACCTCCAAAGCTATTTTATAGATTTTTTTTGTTTGTTGTTTTTTTTTTATTTTGATGTTAGATGTTAGGGACTCAGGCTGCCTTCTGAATAGTAAGCACATACGGTCATTGCACCACATCCCTAGCCCTATACAGACACTTTTCTAACTGTAGAAGAAATAAAGAATTAACTAGCAACAAGCCTCAAAATTTGGTTACGTATGTAGGTACAAAGCTGGTTCATCAAATCCCTGTTCTGGCCCTCAACCCAATGCATTTCAACTAAGGCGCCATCTACTTCCTTCTTAATGTTGATTAGGCACTTAAACAGGTAACGTCCAGCTGCTTCGTCCAGGCGGTCTCCCTTCTCAGAAGCCTCTCCGTCCTGGGCTCCATTGCTAGAGCCTTTACAACTTTCCAGGACCCCTATCCCTCCCCTTTCCTCACTCCTTTCATCCTCCATGGCTTCTGGAGTTTCCCTCCTGGCAAAGTGACTCCTGGCTGAGGCAATGGCCACCAACAGGGGCAGACTCGCCTTCCGGTACGGCAAGGCCACACAAGGCACTCTCCTGGGAGCATGGGGCCATGTCCTGGCTCCCACTCAGCTCTTTGGGAGTGGACTTTCTCTCCTCCAAGGCTAAGAGAACATCCTCAGGCGCTCGGGGCACCTCTCTTAGTTGTCTCACTCGCTCTCTCCTCTTCCGCCTTAAATGAATCCAAGAGTTTTCTACGGCAGTCAGGAAAAGGCTGACTTCTTCTTTCCCACAAGGAATTCGTTTATGGTGGACCTATGTGGAGGAAAAATCAGAATTTTATAGGAAATCATCTGTCACTGCTTACCAAACTCCTTCAATTAACGCAAACAAGCCGTAAAGGTCATTATGGATAAGTACTTCATCAATATGCTTGGTCCACACCTTCAGATCCGTGAGGATTTTCTCTATGCATGTTGTCACAACTGTTATGCCTTCTACTGTCTCAGAGCCCAGTGACAAGGCTTTGAGGGATAATTCTTCCATCACAGACTCCAGCACTACAAACGTAATCGGTTTCCTCGGCTTTTCTAATCTTCTTCGTTTACTTGGAGGTGACTGAAAGAAAAAAGAAGAAAGTTACCCCAACAATGAAATACAGTCCGCTATAACGGGCACTAGTAAGGACATTCCCAGGATTTCTGTTCCCAACCACAGGGCATGAAACACAAAGGTTTTTGCACGTGTTATTTCCAATGCTGGAGACAGCTCTGGAAGAAGGCTCTACCACTTCCTCCACTTTACAAAAAGAAAACTGAGACAGAGGCTATGTCATTATAGCTCAGTCACACCACTAGTAAAGACAGAATCAGGATCCTAACTCCAACTACAAACTCTTTCAACCCTATCACCTTGTTCTACTCTGGTTACCAGTATAGACACTCTCCAAGCACTAGATGGCCTTGTGTATCAGTAGTGCCCCAAGCAGGCCCATACTGAGCTGCACACAGGCAGGGGGTGACAACCCAGTTTGCAAAGTGTTTGTTACACAAGCCTGAAGATGTGCACCCGATCCCAAGAATCCACATTATTTAAAAAAAAAAAAAAAAAGTATGGTGGCACACTTATGGGCAGTGAAAACAGAACTATGCCTGGGGCTCACTGGCCAAGGCAGCCTCACTTAATCAGGGAGCCTCACAGGCCAATGAGAAGCCCTATCTCAAAAAGCAAGGTGGATGCTGCTGAAGAACACTAGCTGAAGTAGTCATCTGCTTCCACACCAAGAACTACTACTACCACTATTACTACTACACAGTTAGGCTGATTAGAGATGGAACTCAAGGTAAAGCACATGCCTAACATAAAATCATCAACTGACAGTTTGCTTGAGTTTAAATATGCTAAGTGGTTGGCAGGGGTGGAGTGGTGATGGCGCACGCCTTTAATCCCAGCACCTGGGAGGCCAAGACAGGTGGACCTCAAGTTTGAGGCCAGCAAGTTTCAGGTCAGACAGGTATAGAAAGTGAGACCATACCAAACGAAACACTTGCTGAGGCTTGAAATACAGCAGCTTACAAAAATCACAGGCCAGGAATGATCAGGGCCCCTGAGAATCACATGGGTAGAAGAAGCTGGGCCCAGACTGTCAGTCGAGGATACCAGCACCAAAGAGAACACTACATTGGAAAGCTAGGCCATGGGAGTCCAATCACATCACACTTTCTACCTAGGACTTAGGCAGGTCACACTCCACCCACTAGAGGGACTAGAGTTCCACTTAAAACACCAAAAGTAACACCATAGTAATTAAATTATCCCTTTAAATAAAGTTAAAACTTTCTACAAGATACTCTTAAAAAGTTACATTTAGCTGGGCAGTGGTGTCGCAGGCTTTTAATCCCAGAACTTGAGAGGTAGAGGCAGGCCTCTGAGTTCAAGGCCAACCTGGTCTACAGAGTGAGTTCCAGGACAGGCTACACAGAGAAATCCTGTCTTGAAAAACCAAACCAAACAAACCAAAAAAAAAAAAAAAAAAAAAAAAAAAAGAAATTGATATTAAACCCAACTCCATAGGTCCCTGGCACTAGGACAAGTTTACACCTCATTACAGATACTAATACAGAAAATTATTTTCCCCAACTGAAGTAATGTTGTTGTTGTTGTTTCTGAGGCAGGATCTCACATAGTCCAGGTCTCAAAACTCTCAAGGATGAACTCAAATCTTCAATCCTCCTGCCTACCGTATTAGATAGTACCAATCAATTAAGGGGCCATGGAGTATACGCTAGTAAAAAACTCGAGCCAGGCAGGGGTGATGCATGCCTTTAATTCCAGCACTTGGGAGGCAGAGGCAGGCAGATCTCTGAGTTTGAGGCCAGCCTGGTCTACAGAGTGAGTTCCAGGACAGGTTCCAAAGCTACACAGAGAAACCCTGTCTCAAAAACAACAACAACAAAAAAAAAAAAAAAAAAAAAAAAAAAAAACTGTTTTACTCAGAAAAAAATGGTTTACTCATTCTTCTCTATTATTTAATATGTAACTTTCTTTCTTAAAGATTTTTTTTTTGTTTTGTTTTTCGAGACAGGGTTTCTCTGTGTAGCATTGCGCCTCTCCTGGATCTCGCTCTGTAGACCAGGCTGGCCTTGAACTCACAGAGATCCGCCTGCCTCTGCCTCCCGAGTGCTGGGATTAAAGGCATGCACCACCAATGCCCGGCAAGATTTATTTATTTATTATGCATACAGTGCTCTGCCTGCATGTATACCTGCAAGCCAGAAGAGGGCACCAGATCTCATTACAGATGGCTGTGAGCCACCATGAGGTTGCTGGGAATTGAACTCAGGACCTCTGGAAGAGTAGTCAGTGCTCTTAACCTCTGAGCCCTCTCTCCAGCCCTATTTGTGACTTTCAATACAGCAAAAAGAAACTCTTCTATATCTACTCTAGAAAGTTTGTATCTATATTCTGGATTTTATATCTATACGAAGTATTACCGTTGTTATTTTTGTGATGTGAGGGATGGAACCTAAGACTATGTGCATGCTAGGAAAGCATTCTATCGCTGAGCTACATGCCCAGACCACAGATAGGAACTCTGACCAGAATAGTAGACTTAGGGGAACTCTAAGTTTTCCCAGAGGAGAAGCTGTTGGGATGATTCAAAACAAGTGCTCGCTTCAGCAGCACATATACTAAAATTAGAACAATACAGAGAAGATTAGCATGGCCCCTGCGCAAGGATGACACGCAAATTCATGAAGCGTTCCATATTTAAAAAAAACAAAAAACAAAAAAAAAACAAGATTCTTCAATAAAGACTGCACAAAGAGGTTATGGTAGCCAGGCTCAAGAAAAGACAAGAGACTTGGTAAGCAGAATGAATATCCAAGTGTTTAAAGTCTGGGCTAGAAAATCAGACTGGGGCTTGACTTTCTGCAGCCTCCAGAGGCTGGTATTGCTGTTCACACAACTGTTCCCTGGTTTAATGAAAAAGAAACAGTACGTGTATTCAAATAAGAACGACAACTATATGCAGTACATCAAAGCTTCCAAAACCTACTGATGTCCTATTCACAGGGCTGTGCCTCAGCTTAAGGCCTAAGCTATTCCTTTAAACGTTCAACAAATCCTTCTTTAGGATAAACAGCAAAGGAAACAAACAGGTAAATCTTGGTCCCTAAAGTTCAGATTAGCCCCAACTGTTTCTTTTTCTGAAATGCTCTCATCCCTATCATTCATCTCAGCACTTATGAATGTACAATTTTTACATACATTGTTTCAGCTGTGTTTTGCTTTGCTATAAAACTAACACGTAAGAAACTGTCTTTTCTAGCCGGGCGGTGGTGGCGCACGCCTTTAATCCCAGCACTCGGGAGGCAGAGCCAGGCGGATCTCTGTGAGTTCGAGGCCAGCCTGGTCTCCAAAGCGAGTTCCAGGAAAGGCGCAAAGCTACACAGAGAAACCCTGTCTCGAAAAACCAAAAAGAAACTGTCTTTTCTGATTTCTTTGTTATTACCACAGCAAGGCTCATACTTTGATTCTGCTCAAAGCTCAGTCCTTAATCACTATATCTGTTTTACAGCCTAATTTAGACCTTGGTAGAGTTCTGATTCACAAACCATTTTGAAGTTTGGTGTGGTGGCACATACCTGTAATCTCAGAACCAAGAAGAAGAGGCAGGAAGAACACCATACCTGATCTACATAACAAGTTCCAGGTCAGTCAGCACCAGAATAGTGAGACCCTACCCCTAAATAAATAACTAAAAACCAAACAAACAAAAAACTCAACTCTCACATATGATAAGCAATAAACCATCCATCTACTTCCCAAACTATTTCTTCTTTAAATTTATTTTTAGTGCACTGGTACACGGAGACTGAAAGAAGGTATGGGATTCCCTGGAATTGGACTTGTGGTTTGTGAACTGCCACATGGGTGCTGGGAACCGAACCTGGGTCTGAGGGAGCATGTCTCCAGTCCTGTGCATACTTTAATGAACCTGGGTTCCTGAGCAGCACTCACATCAAGAGTACACGATGTACTAGAGCTATGTGTCACCCTCTACCCTTCCCCTTCAACCAACATCAACTTCCTGAAAGCAAACCAGACCTGAAGCAGCACCCTGCCGACTTAGAGAACTGGGAAAGGGGTTCTAAAAGTGACTTGCCAGCATCCTGTGGAACCTACTGCTTCCCCATGCCCTCATCAGTCAGAAATGATGATACAAAAATTCTACCAACATTAAGTAGGTTGTCTTTTCGTTGCTAAAATGAGTCTAGACAACAGCAGTGGGCTCAATGTAAGCACTAGAATTAATTGAATTAGAATTTTCAGCATTCAGCACCAACAGAAACAAGTCAGTAGGCCTGACATAAGTGAAAACAAGTTGCCATAGGAACTTGCACATCACGATAAATGGCAGGGTGGGAGTGAGGAAGTAGGTCAATATTCTTGCTTAACCAGTTCTATTCTGTCTTCCTCTCTTGACTGAAACAGCATTCTAATCCTGCCCGATCCCACCAGGAGCAAGAGAGGAACGTCATGAGTTTTCCAGAAAAACGGTGACTGGGGAAGTCTAAGAAGAAGGAAGGGGAACCAAGAGTAAGGTCAACCCAAACTCTCCCAAGAGTAACACACCCACAGGGAAAGCAGTCGTTCATCAAGGGTGCCAATGCTAAGAAACTGTTGCTGGGTTACTACAAATCAGAAGCTGTCACCGCCCGCCCGCCCCCCCCCCCCCCAAAAAAACACACACCAGCAGTTGAAGTGCAGCTAATGGACCACTGGGGAATGCATTATTAGCAGCTTAGGGATGACTGCAGCGGTGGGGAGGGGGAAATACTCAGTAGCATGGGAGGAATCTCAGGCCCCTAGCAAGAGGCATTCCTTGACAGATGGAAACTATGCAGGGCTACAAGATACCCTAAAAAGGAGAGAGGGAGGCTCATCGATTCCTTTTCTAAGTAAGCTGATTTTGAAAAAACATAAATAAATAAACTGATTTTGTACAAAGACACTGTCCTTTAACACTAGTATCTGTGATGACTCCCTTATCCAAGAGGGCGAACAAGAACGTCTCTGGGTTATTTGTGGGGAATGTCAAAGTCCATTATCAGCTTTCCCAGCTGTGTCAAAAAATGTGGGCAGCAGGTTAAGAAGATACTCTTGGAAGCAGGTGCTGCTCCAATTTTCCACAGCTGTTTGTGTCTGCACAAGCATAGCTAAGGGCATTGCTAATGATTTTAACCATCTGCTGTGTAGGTCCTAGTAGTCTAGAAAACAATAGGATAATATTTGAGGAGGAAGAAGTTATGGAAAGCAGAGGCATCTTTTTAACTAGTAATCAAATTAAACACTAACCTCTGTGTACCCTACTGTACAGTCCAGAAGCAAGTCTAGACTTCCATGGAAAGTACACTCTATAGAGGCAATTTCAATCCTGCAGCACATCGAGTTGTGGAGAAAGAATTGGCTCAGCTTCAAATCTGACCCTCGTGTTTTCAAAAACAAGGCAGCATCTGCAAACCATTCCTTGGTGCAACAGAGAAAGACTCAAAAGACAGCAACATCTATGATAGCTCTGGAGACCAAAACTGGCCAAGTCCCTTGGAGGAGGTGGCCCCAAAACAAGCCTGCTATATGGTGTAGTGGGTATTGCCTTCGCCAATGACCTTGGACTACCTTGGCCCAATAGAGGCAGTATTTCTTGTCTGCCTACGTGACCTCTCAAAAGGGAAGAGAAAGGGGGATGGCATGCTCTCTTGGATGGTGAAGACCTGGTCAGGTGGTGTGATGCAGTGTGTAATTGGTCTCCAGCTTTCCAAGGACTCTGGAACTGAATTTATCATATCCTGTATTCATGAGTATATTTCCCCATTTCTTATCTTAATAAATCCCAGATTCCCCTTAAACAGACTCTCGTGGATTTCACTAACAATATGGACTGGGATAGAGACCTGCAACAGTCAGTACTATCCTCCACACACACCATGCGAAAAAAGAGCTGAGTAGCTGAGCACAGGTTAGAATGTGTGGCTCCAGGCAAGCAGCAGACCACTCTTGCAGGGAGATTTAAGAAACAGACACATGCTATTCTATCACTACCCTCCTGGGAGGCCCAGAAAACTATTCAGTCTGCTTGTTTTTTTATTAGTGTGTGTGCTGTGTTGTGTGTGTGTGTGTGTGTGTGTGTGTGTGTAACAACACCTTACTATGTAGCCCAGAACTCTCAATGCTCTGCCTTAGCCTCCTGAGTGCTGGGATTATGGTTGTGTGCCACCATTTCTAGCCTCAAAAACCTTTTCTTTGCAGATACAATAGTACAGAGAACCAAGAGAAATCTAGAAACAAATCTTTTTATTTTTCTTAAGATTTGTGTGTGTGTGTGTGTGTGTGTCCGTGTCCCCGCACATATGCACACTCACGCAGGTACCCATGAGGGCAGAGGAGTGTATTGGAGCCCTTGGAGCTGGAGTTTCAGGTGTTATGATCTGGCAGATGTGGATGGTTAGGCTCTGAACTCCAGCACTCTAACAGAGCAGAAAGCACTCTTAACCATTGAGCCACGTCTCCAGCTCTTTTTGAGGCAGTTTCCTTGGTACTACTTCAGGCTGGTCTCAAACCTCAGAATTCTTCTGCCTCCACTTTTCAAGCTCTGGGACTGGCACATGCTACCCCACATCCACTTTCTAGTGGTAACCATAAAAGACGAGCCAGAGCTTTTTACTAAGATCAGCACAGATGTTACACTGGAAAAGGAGACAGCCACAGAGCTAGGAGTATAACCTGGGGTACAACATTTGCCTGCAATGCTTGAGACACTGGGTTCAAGCTTCAGCAATGAGAAATCAGAACAGGAAAAAGAAAAATGATTGCAACCACAATGACAGCTTTCTAGCAGCTTAGTAAAGCAGCAGTGGCCAGGTAGAGAAACAGACTGAAGAATGTCCACCAGAAGTTACACTGGCCAGATGTTCCTACAGGCTATGCTGCCTACACTTCTAACTTCTAAATGATGCTAGGATTAGCTCTTGTTTACAAACAATTTCCATTTTGCCATAAACATTTGGAGAAATGGAAATTCTCCAAATGGAAAACATGACAGTACAGAGTGAGTTCATTTATGATCTGTGGAAGCTTATCACGTGATGGGCATTTGGAGAAGCCAAATCAAGCCTTTACTTACCGGTACTGTGACGTCATCATAAAAACTCCAAGCTAAGGCCCATCGCATTGTCCTGCCTTGACAGAACTCCGTGAAGGTGACTTTAGGAACCTGAAACCAGTAAACACAGCATCTCATAAAAAAGTTTTGTTTGGAGCCGGGCAGTGGTGGCGCACGCCTTTAATCCCAGCACTCGGGAGGCAGAGCCAGGCAGATCTCTGTGAGTTCGAGGCCAGCCTGGGCTACCAAGTGAGTTCCAGGAAAGGCGCAAAGCTACACAGAGAAACCCTGTCTCGAAAAACCAAAAAAAAAAAACAAAAAAAAAAAAAGTTTTGTTTGATTTGAGACAGGGTCTCAGGTAGCTAAGGGTGACCGTGAACTCCTGATCCTCCTGCCTCAACCTACTGAGTACTAGCAATCAAGTGCACGTCACCATGCCCACCTTCAAACTAAAGTCTTTTTAGTAATGTTTCTGGCTGCTAATTCCTATGGTTGCTTTTTGTTAGTTAACAAACATTATTTTAAAAAAAGGGGGGGAGTATGTACAGCTGATTATCTCTATATCGAATTTTTACCTCTCATAAAATATTAGAATTTATAGATGTCCCAAAGGTCAAACAACAAACAGCTAAAACAGTTCTCTAGAGTCACTGTAAAATGGTTTAGGTACTTTTTCTTCATTTCTTTGACAGAGGACTTGGCTACCTGGGCCAAACTGGCCTTCAACTTGGAATCCTCTTGCTTCTACCTCCCGGGAGCTAGAATTACAGATGTGGACCGCCTTAGCAGTGTGGGGTTGAATACAGGGCCTCAAGCATGCCAGACAAGCACTCAGGGCTCCTAAGCCTGTGTTTACTGTTGTTTTGAGACAGGGTCTCACTCTGTAGCCCTGGCTTGCCTGGAACTTGCTATGGAGACCAGGGTGGCCTCAAACTGAAACCACCTGCTTCTGCTTCATGAGTGCAGGGATTAAAGACACGTACTACGTCCAGCCCTTGTTTACTTCTTTAAATACAAGAGCCAACCAAAGTCTGGCCATAAGCAGATGTATAATCCTTTTCATTTATCAGATTTCAATAAAGAAAAAGTAGCCAGACGGTGGTGCTGCATGCCTTTATTCCTAGCACTCAGGAGGCAGAGGCATGCAGATCTCTGTGAGATCCAGGCCAGCCTGGTGACAGAGCTAGTTCCAGGATAGCCAGGGCTACACAAAGAAACCCTGTCTTAAAAAACAAACAAACAAACAACAACAACAACAAGAAGTAACTAACTAGTCTGTAGTTTTTAATATCTTTAACAAGAAATAGTGGGCTAGAGAGATGGCTCAGCAATTAGGAGCAATTCTTGCTCTTGCAAAAGTCCCAGCTTGGTTCCCAGAACCCACAGGGTAGATTACAACCATCCATAACGCCAGAAGAGAATCTGGCCTCTTCTGACTTTTGTGGGTACACATATACTGCAGACAAAACGTTCATATACATAACATAAATACATGTTCAAAACACATTTAGCTTTATGGTATAAAGAAGGCTGCCCTACTCAAACTACATTCTAAAGCACATACCGGAGTGGCAGTGACAAAGCTTACCCCTTGGATTCTGAGCTCTTCCTTCAGTGGAGCCAGGCTGCACTTCTTCCCCAGCATACAGCTATACCACCTTGGGAAAACATCAGACAAATGAAAAGCAGTTGTAAGCATCGTTCATGAGAACAGCAGCAAAAAATATTGAGTTAAGTTACAAGTAACAATAACAAAAATTGCACAAATTAGGTAAATACTGAATCATATAATGGAAAAAAAGAAGCCCAAGGCAACCTAAAAAAATAATCTTGGCAGGCAAATGGCACAGTGAATGAAGGCTTGAGTTCAATAACCAGAGCCCATGGTGGAAAGAGAGCAGCTGCTCTGACTTCCACACTCACCACGGCACTCACGTGTGCACAAACACAAATAATTAAAAAGACCCTGCCAGGCAGTGGGAGCACACCTTTAATCCCAGCACTCAGGAGGCTGAGGTGGGAAGATTTCTGTGAGGACAGCCTGGTCTACATAATAAGTTCCAGGCCAGCCAAGGGTGCATAGTGAGACCTAGTCATTTAAAAAACAAAAACCAGGTAAGTACGTAAATAAATAAATAAACTGCTTGGTTTTCCAGTGCTTAAAATGTACATATCTGGACAGAAACCAAAGAAGATGAGCTCCATCTATCATATACAAAACGAAGGCCATATGGTTGTAGGGCAGACATTAGTCAACGACAAAAAGGCAGGACCTGCAGAGATGGTTTTAGAACACTTGCTGGTCTGGCAGAGGACCCAGGTTCAGTTTCTGAGCACCCAAATGGTAGCTCATAACCACCCACGAACTCCTATTCCAAGGGCTCTGACTCCCTCTTCTGGCCTCCACAGGCCCTGCACACACATTGTGTACATACACAGAAACAAGAAAAAACTCAAAATAAATCTTTAAAAAAATAACAGAAAGGCATACAAATACCCTCGCACTATATTAAGAAAACACAGACCCCTGCCTGAACTTGTGTTATGAACTGCTCTATACCAGCCAGGCAGTGGTAGCTCACACCTTTAATCCCAGCACTTGGGAGGCAGAGCCAGGAAGATCTCTGTGAGTTCAACTCCAGTCTGGTCTACAGAGTTGAGTTCCAGGACAGCCAGGACTATAGAGAACTTCTCTGAAGGAGTGTAGAGAAAATGAGGTGAACTGGTTGAAGGGTAAAAGTGATGTATATTGGGCTGGAGAGAAGGCTCAGTGATTAAGAGCACTGATTCTTCTTCCAGAGGACCTGGGTTCAATTCCCAGCAACCACATGGTGGTACACAGCCACTTGTAATGAGATCTGGTGCCCTCTACTGGCCTGCAGGGACACATGCAGGCAGAACACTATACATAATAATTTTTTTTTTAAAAAAAAGGGATGTATATCATTTCTTCTGATTATTTTAAATAGACTTAAAAATAAAAACGGATATAGGGCCGGGCAGTGGTGGCGCACGCCTTTAATCCCAGCACTGGGGAGGCAGAGCCAGGCGGATCTCTGTGAGTTCGAGGCCAGCCTGGGCTACCAAGTGAGTTCCAGGAAAGGCGCAAAGCTACACAGAGAAACCCTGTCTCGAAAAAAAAAAAAAAAAAAAAAAAAAAAACGGATATAGGATTGTGCTTCAGTCAGATTAGCTAGCATGGGAACTGCCTTCTACTGTTGAAAGTGATGAAACTCTGTCTAAAAGAAAGAAAGAGGAATGAAAGGAACTGTAGACAGCAAGTCCTACAGCCGCCAGAATGTAGTGCACTAAGTGTCTTTCCAGTTTCAGTACAGGGAAAGGATCCTCAAACAGCACAATAATCCTGCTGAGCTGATAGGACTGAGGTGAGGGTTGAGAAGATGAAGCGGGGTAGGATCTGCAAAGCAAATCAAGGGGAAAAGAAACTCAAGAAGAAAGGAAATAATTAAGATTAGATTAAAAAAATCAATAAAAAAGACAAATTATCAGGCTTGAAAGAAGTAACATCATCACAGAACCTACAAACATGATAAGAGGCACAGAAAGGAGGGAAATCGAGGGAGATTGGGTAGGAAGAGAGAGAGCAAGAGAGAGACTGAGACTTCCTCTCTCTACGTTCAGGCTAGTCTCCAGCTTTCTGTGCAGCCTATGCTGACCTTGAACTTCTGATTTTCCCTGCCTCCAGCCCCCACCTCACTCCCAGTATTAGGATTATAAGCATGTACCACCATGCTGGGTCTATTCAGTGCTGTGGGCTAGAGATTGAACCCAGAGATTCATGCATGAGAGGCAAGCACTCTACCAATGTACCCACTTCCCTAGTCCCAAGAAAAAATATTTATAAACAACTATTTTTTTTCTTCTGGTTTTTCGAGACAGAGTTTCTCCGTGTAGTTCTGGTGCCTATCCTGGATCTCGCTCTGTAGACCAGGCTGGCCTTGAACTTCCTGAGTGCTGAGATTAAGGGTATGCGCCACCACCGCCTGGCATAAACAGCTCTTACTATACAATCTCACAACTAGTTCAAACAAATTCCTTGAAAGACACAAACTACCATACTTACTCCAGAAGTACAAACCTCAAATTGTTCTTGTATTACATCATCAATTAAAGAAACGAATTCAGCCAGGAAGTGGTGGTGGTGCACGCCTTTAAACCCAGCACTAGGGAGGCAGAGGCAGGTGGATGGATATCTATGTTTGAGGCCAGCCTCTAGAAAGTGAGTTCCAGAACAGCCAAGGCTACACAGAGAAACCCTGCCTTGAAAAACAAGGAAGGAAGGAAGGAAGGAAGGAAGGAAGGAAGGAAGGAAGGAAGGAAGGAAGGAAGGAAGGAAGGAAGGGCCGGCCAGCCAAGTACTTTGTTGTTAAGTACATTTAAAGAAAATGTACAGGCTGGGTATGGTGATGCAAACCTATAACCCCAGCACTCAAGAAGAGGAGCATCAGAGTCAAGACAGTCTCAAACCCACAGTTGGACTATAATGAGACTGTCTCAAAAAAGGTGGGATGGGGAGTTCTTGCCAAGCATGCACAAAGCCCTGGACAAAAGCGTGCATACCTTTGGGAGGTAGAGGTAGAAGGATCAGAAATTAAAAGTAATCCTCTACTAAACAGTGATTTCAAAGGCTGGCCTGATGCATGAAAACTGTCTCAAAGACAACTACAGGCACCCTACCTTGTTTCTAGCTTCCTATGTTCACACGCCTAACCACTAAATGCTGGCTGCAATCTCAAGAGACACCCTGTGACAACTAATCAAAGTGCAAGTAGAACAGAAAGAACAAAGGAAGATCTAGTTACCCAAGAGACTTTGAACCCATTACAGAATTTTAATCATGAAAGTAATACTCTACTCATTACAGCATTGCAAAATTCCTCTGAGATGCTAAGTTTCAAGAAAAAATTATTTTGAAAGAATTTCTGGCCTGTAAGAGCCGCAAGATTAATACAAATGACTCTCCTATACCCTTCACCCAGATTTACCAATTAGCAAGTTCCCCCATGTCTTTGGTTCTATATGTTTTCTAAACTATTTGGGAAGTAGCCATGAAACATTCCTGAATCCTAATATTTCAGCATGCATACTTTACAAACAAGAGTCTTCCTTTTAGCTGGGCAGTGGTGGCACATGTCTTTAATCCCAGCCTTCGGGAGGCAGAGGCAAGTAGATCTCTGTAGAGTCTAAGGCCAGCCTGGTCTACAGAGCAAGTTCCCAGGACAGCCAAGGCTGTTACACAGACAAACCCTGCCTGGAAAAACTAAAAAGAACCTTCTTTTTGGTAACAACATTGAACAATTATCGAAATTAGACAAAATGTAACATGCACATGATATTATGATCTGGACTGGAGCATAATCCATATTTACTTTCACAACTACCCAAATTTTCCCTGCATACACACTCCAGTGTGGGGTTGTGCACTTCAGGCATCTGTCATGTCTCCTTAATCTCCTCAATCTGGAACTGCTCCTTGATGTCTTTTACTTTCATGTCAGGATATGAGTTAGATCTGAGTACCTATTTCTGCTGCGAGGACACAGGTTCTCAGATCAGGAGCTCATGGGGTGGGAGCAGTCCTTCTGGCCTCTCCACTTTACACTTCCCACAATTCTCTTGGAAAGTCAGTACTCTCTGCAGAGACGCTCTGAAACTATGCAAATACCCTGTTCTTTGCTGTTTTTCAAAGCTTGGGATTAAACCCAGGGTACAAACATGTACCACACACACACACACACACACACACACACACACACACACACACGGTATCACTGAGCTACAGCCCAGCCAATATCTGATTCTTCAAATTTCCCATTGTTGATTTTTCCCACAGATCAATTATTATTATGACAACTGATAAATGATGATCTTTCTAACAACCCTGTTTATGGATTTAGTCATTAGAATTCTACTTTGTAAGGAATAATTTTTACTTGAATTGCCCCCAATTGGGCTTAAACTAGGTCCTATGTCCAAATACATGTCATCTGGGGCAATCATTCTTGCAAAACGAGGTATCATAGTCTTATGTTTATTTGGACCCAGCTCTGCCATCAATTATTTGAAAGACTACCAATTTGCAATTGTCATTATAAAGACTGACCCATGGAAAACGAAACAATAAGAAATTTGAGGAACTTTGTCTCATTTCAGTAGGGGAAGGTTAGTTAGAAAATCCTTTAAGCCAATTTTTAAATTAAGTTGTAATGCAGAAAAGCAAGTTACAAGCAGAAGCCTGGGGTGAAAATGGCTACGAGCCCAACACCTTACTACCTATAAATAGACTGCTAGAACAAAGGCCTCCAGTCACCAGAGCAGCCGAATGTTCTGCTTCATCTCAAAAATTCATCATTTAAACTGACATAAATTCTAAATTGTCATGGCTAAAAATAAACTTTTACATTTCCCCCCTGCAATCTTATATAGCACAGGGTGGCTACATGGTGCAAATGTGGTCTATTTAGAAACGAAACTGCAGTACAGATCACTGAGATAGTGGAAGACTGAAATTAAACTTTTAAGTCAGAAAGTTTCACTTATGAGTGAAACCAAGTTCTACAATTTTACCCTTTAAGTTCCTCTCGACTGCTAACCAAAATCAAGTGGCAATGATCTAAGCTGTTACTGAGCACGGCCTGGGCCTTCTGAGTTTCTGTGTGACTTCAGGAGCAAGAAGGAAAAAATAATATTTAAATGTTTAAAAAGATTTCTTTTGTTGGGCGGCGGTGGTGCACACCTTTAATCCCAGCACTCAGGAGCCAGAGACAGGTGGATCTCTGTGAGTTCGAGGCCAGTCTGGTCTACAGAGCAAGATCCAGGACAGGAGAAACCTTGTCTTGAGAAATAAAAAAAACAAACAAAAAAAAGATTTCTTTTACATGTACAGGTGTTTTGGTTACATGTATGTATCATGTGCATGCCTGATGCCTTTTGAGGTCAGAAGAGGCCATTGGGGCCCCTGAAATTGGAGTTGTAGATAGTTAGGAGCCACCAGATGGGTGCTAGGAACTGATCCTAAGTTCTCTAAGAGAGGAACAAGTGCTTTAACCACTAAGCCAGTTCTCCAACCCAAGAAAAAATAGTTTACATGGATAAAAGCGGCAAATGGTAGGGGATACTTGGAAATTTTTGTTTTTCTTTTCTTTCTTTTCTTTAGAGACAGGGTCTCATGTAGCCAAGGCTGGCCTTGAACCCCTGAACCTCTCACCTCTACTTCCCAAATGGTAAGATTATACAAGGCATGTATTCCACACCTAGCTAAAATACTTGTTTCTAATCTAGAATCTTCATAGCACCTTAGAATCTACCCCTTGCACAGCAGTCTGAATGCGGTGGAGTCATTAGTGGTATAAACATGACAATGACCTCTCAAACCTGCCAGAGCCCTATGTGGACAAAGGAACACTTTCTATAAACAGAGGCACAACGGCTCTTCCCAGCCAACTTAGACCTCTTATTCAACTTGGGGCTGCAACAGAGCCAGGTATAAGCAGACCTGGAATATACTAAATAGCTTTCTATTCCTTAGAATGTTCATTTAAAACTTATACAAAACAAAACAAAAAACCCTCAAGGAAAATTTCATTAGTTTAAAAGAAAAAAACCCAAGGGCAGAGAGGCAGGCAGTAAACCTCAGCAGTATCCCTGAGAAGAAGAATTCAGAGGAGCCAGACTCTGTGAAGCTGCATGCCTGTGGCCAGGTAAGCCACTGGCTAAAACTTGTTTTTGTAGTTCAAATGAAGACTCTATGGACATAAATTTAAAATTTGAAAGTCTCCTAAAAAGCAACAGCCCCATTCCCACTAAACTGTAGCCTAAGAGAACCTACATTTTCTCCCATTTTGTGGGTTGGCCCAGCCCCCCTAAAAGTCAAAACACAACCAGGCATGGTGGTAATTGTCTCTACTCCTAACACTAGGGAGGCAGAGGCAGTCAGATCTCTGTAAGCTTGAGGCCAGCCTGGTCTAGACAACGAATTCCAGGTCAGAGCTACATAAATGAGATTTTATCTCCCCAAAAAAAAGGGGGGGGGGGGCTGGAGAGATGGCTCAGGGGTTAGGAACACTGGCTGTTCTTCCAGAGGACCTGGGTTCAGGTCCCAGCACCCACATGGAAGCTCACAACTGTCTGTAACTGCAGTTCCAAGAGATGACACCTTCATACCAGTGTACCTAAAATAAAGTTAAGTAAATTATTTAAAGAAAAAAAAAGAAAGGAAAGGGAGGGAGGAAGGGAGGAAGGAAGGAAGGAAGGAAAAAGAAACAACAGCCAGCAGACGACAAAATGATCATAGACTACAATGATCACATATACACCTATTTCTTCTTCAAGTTTCAGTGCTCTATTGACTTTCTTTAAATTTACTTCTTTAGCCAGGCATTAGTAGTGCACGCCTTTAACCCCAGCACTCGGGAGACAGAGGCAGGTAGATCTTTGTGAGTTTGAGGCCAGCCTGGTCTATGAAGTGAGTTCCAGGACAGCCAGGGCTGTTACACAGAGAAACCCTGTCTCAAAAAACAAAAACCAAACAATTTACTTCTTTAGACTTTCCCCAAGGCTCAATTCAGCCTGAGCTTCTTTCTCCTTCAATATACTCTAATATGTCTTTGAAGAAATCAATTGAAGCAAAACATATTGACCATAAGCTGAAGAGTTCAGTCATGTTTTGGGCTTCTGTAATGTTTTAAGTTTTCTGAGAGGCAGACCACCAATAAGCTATTTTCCTCTTTTTTGTTTGGTTTTTCAAAACATATTTATGTGTGTATTTGTGAAAGTCTGGGAGGGTGGGTTCCTATGTACATATGAAGAAGCCAGAAGAGGGTACCAGGTGTCCTCTATCACATCACACCTATTCCTTTAAGCAGGCTCTCTCCCTGAACTGGGAGGCAGCAGGTGCTTTCTTGCTAGGCTAGAAGCCATCAAGGCACTGTGAGCCTTCTGTGGCTCTGCATCCCTCACAGCTGGGGTTGCTGGTGTGGTCATTCTGTGGGGTCTGGGACAAAAGCTCTGGTCCTCGTTACTACACAACTGGGTGCTCTGAACCGCTGAACCATCTCTACACACTCCTCAAGCTGCTTCCACAGTACTTAAGTAGTTCACACTACCAAATCAAAATACTTGTGGATTTGGAATTTTCTAAATTAAGCATCATTTTTAAAGACAAAGTCTGTCATATACACTAGTCTGACCCTGACCCACAGCCCTCCTGACTGCCTGCCTATGTAAATGCTAAGATCACAGGTATAACCTTGTACCTGGCTAAAATAAGCAGCTTTAGACACAAATACAAAAGGGGGTGGAATTATTCCCTACCTAGTAATTCCACCTCTGGGTAAACAACCAGGAGAATTTAAAATAGGATCTTGAAAATGTATCTGTACACCCATGCTCATCCTACCTCACTAAAGAGCCAAACAATTTTGAAAAGCAACACAAGTTGCCATGAGATGAATGAATAGATAAAATGTAGTTTACACATGTAACAGAATATTAAAATTGGTTATGGTAGTTCACACCTATAATCCTAGGAGGCAGAGATAGAAACAACACCACAAGTCAGCCTGAGCTACACAGCAAGTACCAGTCAGGATCTGTATCAAGACCTTGTTGCAAACAAAAACAGAACACAACAACAACAACAACAAACCCAAAACAGAAAAATATTTGCCTTTTTTCAAAAGGACAGATTACAACATGGATGAAGCATGAAAATATGCTAAATGAAATAAGACAATCACAAAAGGACAACTACTGTATGACTTCACAAAGATGCGCTATTCAGAGCAGTTAAATTCAAAGACAGAAGACAGTGGCTGGGGCTGCAAGAGAGAAGGAACAGGGAGCTGCTGCTTAACAGGTATAGTTACAGGTGCAGCTCTGGGAAACCACAAGTTCTGGCCCTGCATGGTGGTACATGACTTTGATCACAGCATTTGAGTGGCAGAGGCAGGTGGATCTCTGTGAGTTTGATTGAGGTCAGCCTGATCTACAGAGTAAGTTCCAGGATATCCAGGGCTATGGAGAAAGACCCTGGTTCAAAACAAAATGAAAACCAAAAATACTAAGAGGTCTGAAGATTAGCTGCACAACAATGTGAATGTTCTTAATACTACTCAACTATAGACTTGATGGTACAGTGTTTGAACGCACTGGCTTTTCTTCCAGAGAACCAGGGTTCGATTCCCAGAACCCACATGAAGTCTCACAATCATTTTTAACTCTACTCTAAGGGATCCAACATCCTCTTCTATCTTTCTTGGGCCCCACATACTCACATGTTATACATACACACATGTGTAGGCAAAACACCCTATACATTAAAAAAAAAAAGATTTGCTATATAAGGATGAAATGTAGCTTAGTGTTGGTGTGTGCCTGTCAATGTGAGACCTTGAGTTCACTCTCCCCAACATGCCCTCTTCCCTCAAGAAACCTTCTAAAAATATTGGATAGTAAATTTTATGCTTTTACCACACACAAAAATAAATACAAATAAACACTTTTTCACAAAACTCAACCCTAGGACTGAGAGCGCCACTATCACATTATCTACCCTATCAACAGCATGTGGCACAGGGCAGAGTGACACAAGACAAGCCGCTCTGTCTGAGTACCTAACACTGCTTGATGACAGGTGTGTTGTCCAAAATAATTAGCTTTTAAAACAGAACAGCCCTGACCCATCTCTGGAGATGGTTGGTAATCTGTTTCCTTCATTAAATTCCTGACAGCTCAATGTCCTCACATCTGTCACTGTTTAGGAAACTGAGTCCAAGAACCCCAACTGCTTCAAGGACTAGGCAACAAGATGATTCTGGTTCATGGGGCTGATTTGCACCCATCTGTTTTCTAATCAAAAGCCGTATTTGAGTCAGTTTTGTTCCATCCCAGGACCACACGAATGGGAACAATACAATCATTTGGGACTTCCCTCCCTTCATCTGTACAGTCTGTTGGACATTACTTATTTTTCAGTCCCAGTAATTATTTTTCCTTAAAGTGACATAGTTGCTTTAGGATCACACGAGACAAATATTTCTACTTACCTTAATCTTTTTTTAAGTTGTAAACTGTCATGGATTATCCTTTTAACAAATTCTAGTTCACCTCCTTCAGCCATGATTTCTGTGATGCCCCCAGTATTTACGGAACTAGGTGGAGGTCTTCGAGAATTCCGAGAGTTCACACCCTGAACAACAACAAAAGCCATGGTCTTTGAATGTAATCTAGCTATTACTGTGCTACACTGAAGATTTAAAAGGTCACACAGCCAGCTGGGGCTGTAGTTTGGTGATAAAGCACTTGCCTAGCATGCACAAGGCCCTGGGGATTAAATATAAAAACATTTACCTTTTATATAGCCCAATCTGTTGCTTTTCCTTTATGCTTTGTCTTGATACCATGGCCAGGAAATCTACCCAAAGATTAAATCAATATTTACTTATGTTTTCTTCTAATACTTTTATGGGTTTTTTTTATATTTAAGTATTTAATCCATCCTTACCTTACTTCATATGAAAAAATTAACTCAAATGAATCAATGGCATAAATATAAGAGGTAAAACTATAAAACTTCCAAGAAGAAAACATAAAAGTAAATTTTCATTAACTTGGATTAGCCAATGGTTTCTTAGATACAACACTAAAAAGCATCAGAACAACACAAAATAGATAAATTGTATTACATCAAAACTAAAATCAGCTTCACTGTAAAGGATACCATCAAAAATTGAGGACAAACCACAGGGTATGGAAAAATGTTTGCAAACACTGTAATTAAAGGGACTTGTTCTAAGATGTGTAAAGGAAACTTAATAGGAAGAAAAGTAACCCAATTTTAAAATGGACAAAGAGGAGGGTGGGGACACAGCTTAATCGCACAGTGCTTGCCCAGTATGTGCAGGGCCCCAGGTTCTAAAGTCATTTTTGTTGCAAAACAAACAAAAATGAGCAAAGAGGACAGGGCTGCTGATCAGCTCAGTGTAGAGAGTTTAGCCAGAGCTGTGAGGGTCTAAATTATAGCCTCCACACTGGAAAGGGGTAGTTGAGGAGGGATCTAAGTGGCATTACTCCATGGAAGATGAGCAAAGGAACACTAACCACATGAAAAGATGCTCAGCTCAGCCAGCCCTCAGGGAAACTCCACCCCACACCCACTGGGGTGGCATGCCAAAGCTACAGATGTTAAGAAGTGCTGAGGAACTGCAACTGTGGCTGGAACATGAGCAGCTGTCAATGCAGAAAACTGTCTGGCAGGCCAGAGACAACTTATTGTCCCCCGCCTCAAATTTAAAAAGACAGTAAAACAAGGTATTTAGGGGGCTGGAAAAGTGGCTCATCAGGTAAGAGTATCAGCTGCTCTCAGGACAGTGCCATCAAGTCCTCCTGAAGCCCCTATCTGTATTCCTTGAATGTAGAGAAACAACACTTCTAATAAATTTTATTGCAAGGTATGGTTACTTTTCTTCATAAACTTACAATGAAAGCTAAATTTTTAATTATTTTAAGTGTACTTAACTTTATTTTCTAATCAGGAATGTTAGTATTTCTAATAAATTTCTGCCCAAATGCCCCCCACTTTGTCAAAAAAAATTGTATTTGAAGATTTATTTATTTTTGAGCTGAGTCTGATGATGCACACCTTTAATCCCAACACTTGAGAGGAAGAAACTTCTATGAGTCCCAGGACAGTCTACATGGTGACACCCTGTCTAAAATAACAATAACAATTTGAAAATTTTTATGTGTATGAGTGTTTGCATGCATGTATGGTACTACTGGTCCCCAAGGAGTCAGAAGGCATCAGAGTCCCTGGAACTGAACTTAAGTTACAGACAGACTGTGAGCTGCATGTGGGTGCTCAGAGCTGAACCAAGGTCCTCTGGAAGAACAGTAAGTACTCTTAACTGCTGAGCCCTCTCCAGGCCCTGCACTGAATTTGTATGTTTTGGTTTTGGTTTTGTTTGTTGTTTTTTTGAGACAGGGCTTCTCTGTGTAGCTCTGGCTGTCCTGGAACTCGATCTGTAGACTAGGCTGGCCTTGAACTCACAGAGATCCACCTGCCTCTGCCTCCTGAGCGCTGGGATTAAAAGAATGCACCACCACCACCAAAGCCTGGTTGAATTTTTCAAATGTATTATGTTTTGGTTGTACAGTGCTAAGGTTTTTTGCTTTGTTTTTTTTTTTTTTTTTTAACCTAGGGCCTATCACATGCTAGGCAAACACTGTACCACTGAGAAATATTCCTAGCCCTCTTTTTTAAATTTTGAAATAGGGTCTCACTAAGTTGCTTCAAATAGGTTTAAACTTAATCCAAGTTCAGACTAGTCTGGAACTTGCAATCCTCCTGCCTCAGTCTCCCATGCACTGGGAATTACAGACCTCCACACATCAACTCATTTTAGCCAAGTTTGTTCAATATCTAAAAGCAAATACATTTTTTTTCACTATTTAGTCATTTATTTACTACCAAATAACAAAAAAACAGTAAGTTTTTGTCACTAAACTGATAAGCTCAGGCCAACAGAAACTGGAACCTATCTTGGTTCAATTTTAAAAGTTCAAGGTATGGAGGCTTGAGAAATGGCTCAGTGGTTAAGAACACTGGATGCTCTTCCAGAGGACCTGGGTTCCAACCTCAACACCCACATGGTGGCTCACAACCATATGACCCAGGGGCTAGCCTCTGAAAGCAATAGGCACACATGTGATGCACCAACATTCACAAAGGCAAAACACTCATACACATAAAATAAATAATAAATTTACATTTTAAAAATGGTTTTAAGTTCAAGGTTTAGGGAAGAAAGAGCTCTCTCTTTACCCTCTTTCCCCCTAAGTATTGCCTAACCACAACCAAAAAAGCCTAAGAAAAGACAGCAGAAAGCCAGGCCAGAGTCAAGGGAAAGGTAGAAATAAAACTTCAGTTTTTACAATACTATGAACGCCTTGATCAAACTGTTCCTGAAGATAACTGGACTTCTCAACTACATAAACTAGCTTTTTAAACTATGAAGTCCATCTGTACCGAGTTCATAAATATCTCAAACCAAACAGCATTCTGAATTATACCTACTCTAAAGAAAAACTGCTTTTGCTTGTATCTTAGTAAATGAGATAAAATTACTAAGTGTTCAATGACTTTAAATGAGTTTTACCTGGGCTTCCAATTGGTTAGCAAAAAAGGGAGGGTTGCACATGCAGAAGTCATAGATTATCTCAGACTCTTCCTTAAGAGCATCCATTAGAAGTGTCTTCTGTGGCACTTTTACCACTAGGGCAGAAAAAAACTGTTAGTTACTATTTATTTTGTAATGGCTTTAAAATAAGTGCACAAAATACACAACTTAGGAGGAAAATAAAGACGAGCATGTGTATATAAATTCCTTCAAACCACTCCCGGTAAAAGGCAAAACTGCACAAACAGAGAATTAAGTAGATGCATTAACCATGTCAATGTTCCCCTTCACAATATGTGTTAACATTACTAGGAAAAATGTTATTTCTTTTATAAAGAGGCATACTAGAATCTGCTTAATAAAACAAAATGTTTCTTCCCTGGAACTCCCCCTCCTCTTAAGAATTCTCACTTTTCTGTAATAATGTAATTTATGTTCATTTTGCTAAAAACTAATTATAATTAAAAAATTAATAATAAGGAGCTGGAGAGTGATTAAAAACACTCATTTTGCCAGGTGGTGGTGGCGGCGGCGGCGGTGGCGCACGCCTATAATCCCAGCACTTGGGAGGCAGAGGCAGGCGGATCTCTGTGAGTTCAAGGCCATCCTGGTCTACAGAGCTAGTTCAGGACAGGCTCCAAAGCTACAGAGAAACCCTGTCTCAAAAAACCAAAAAAAAAAAAAAAAAAAACCACTCATGTTACTTCCAGGACCCATGTTTCATTCCTGCACCCACATGGTAGCTCATAATCACCTCGAACTCTAGTTCCAAAGGAGTCAACACATTCTTTTCCTATCAGAAGGCACCAGGTATGCATGTGGTGCACAGACATATATGTAGGCAAAACATTTATTCACATAACTCTCCAAAAAATCTAAAACTATATCAATATAGAACGGTCATAAAATGTAAATGATAACTAGGTGGAGTTGGCCTAGTTCTAGCAAATATCTACATACTAAAATTAAAATAATTTAAGAGGGAATCGTGGCCCAAGCCTATAATCTGAGCACATGGGAGGTAGAAGCAGGATAGAGAAATCAAACATAGCCTGGATTACATATTGTAACTCTTTTTTTTTTTCTGAGACAGTCTAACTATGTAGACCAGGTTGGCCTCAAACTCACAGATTCGCTTACCTCTGCCTCCCTAGTGCTGGGATTAAAGGAGTGCACCACCACCACCCAGCTAACCCTATGTATTTTTAAAATAAACTATAGTTTAGTAAAGAGTAGAATGGTGCTCCCCACATCAGTCAGTAGAGTGCCTGCCACACAAACATAAGGACTTGAGCTAGATCCTTAACACCTACATAAAAGCTGGGCATGGCAGCACACCCTGTGCCCTCAACAATGAGGAGACAGAAATAAGGATCCCTGGGGCTTTCTGGCCAGGCAGCCTAGCTGGACCACTGAGCTCCAGGTTCAGTAAAAGACCCTGTCTCAAAACATACGGTGAAGGAGCTAGATAAATGGCTGAATGGTTAAGAGCATTCACTGCTCTTCCACAGAAGCTGGTTTCTATTCTGATCACCCACGTGGTAGCTAATAACCACCAGTAACTTCAGTCCCGAGGGAATCTGACACTTTCTGGCCTCTGAAGGCATTGCACAGATGTGGTGCTAAGCAGGGACATAGGCAGAGCCAACACTCACACACATAAAATATTTTTAAAATTTTTTAAATGAGCCAGGCGGTGGTGGCGCACACCGTTAGTCCCAGCACCCCGGAGGCAGAGGCAGGAGGAACTCTATGAGTTCAAGGCCAGCCTGGTCTACAGAGCAAGTTCCAGGACAGGCTCCAAAGCTACACAGAGAAAAAACCCTGTCTTGAATAAATAAATAAATTAATTAATTAAATTAATTAATTAATTAATAGGTTTTAAGTGATAAAGTAGAAAGTGATTGAAGAATACCCTGATGTAGACTTTGGGAGGCTTCCAAAGGCACATGCACATATATACCTGCTCACACAGAAAAAAATATTGACTAAGTTACTTCATAAATAACTGTTTTTTGGAGGAAGGAGAAACTGCAGCTGGGATGTAAAGTAAGTACGTACGTAAATGAATGAATAAATGAATGCATTCCTTCTTTTTATAATTCATGGTAGCTATAGTCTATGAAATCGCCATGAACACTGAACTAGCAAATACAAACTCCTTTGGGAAGCACAGTGCTAGTACAGCTTCTGAAAGCCTGAGATACATAACCTCATCTACATGGTGTTTTGACTTAAAGATAATTCATTTAATATGCACTGCTGGTCAGGCGTAGTGGCACGAGCCTTTAATCCTAGCAATTAGGAGCCAGATGAAGGCAGATCTCTGAGTCTGAAACTAGCCTGGTCTACAAAGAGATTCCAGCCTGGGCTATCTAGTGAAACCCTGTCTCAAAAAAGGAGTGTAGGGCTGGGGTGAGAGGGAACTTTAAGAAAGAGCTCAGGGCCGGGCGGTGGTGGCGCACGCCTTTAATCCCAGCACTCGGGAGGCAGAGCCAGGTGGATCTCTGTGAGTTCGAGGCCAGCCTGGGCTACCAAGCGAGTCCCAGGAAAGGCGCAAAGCTACACAGAGAAACCCTGTCTCGAAAAACGGAAAAAAAAAAAAAAAGAAAGAGCTCAGTAGTTAAGACACTGGATGCTTTTCCAGAACTAGGGTTCCATTTCCTGAATCCACATGGTGGTGTACTGTCCGTAACTCCAGTTTCAGGACATCTGGCTTCCTTGGGCACTAGGCACACATGTGGTACAGAGACATACATGCAGGTTAAATACCCATATATATTGCTGATTCACTATAACTCATCTAAGTGAAATGTATTTTCTCTATGGCACATAAAAACACGAGACACTTTAGCACTGTTTAGGGGTCATTTGAAACGGCAAAGTCCCTAAGAAGCAGCATAAAAATGTACTCAATGAGGCCAGGCAGTGGTGGCGCACGCCTTTAATCCCAGCACTCGGGAGGCAGAGCCAGGAGGATCTCTGTGAGTTCGAGGCCAGCCTGGTCTACAGAGTGAGTTACAGAACAGGCACCAAAGATACATGGAGAAACCCGTCTCGAAAAACCAAAAAAAAAAAAAAAAAAAGAGAGAGAGAGAGGGCAGACGACAAGCCTGTTAACCTCAGCCAGAAGCACAAACAGGGGAACTCACCCATCCTACAGTGGAAAGATGGGCCCACTCCTGCAAACAGTTCTCTAACCTCTACACACATGCTCTTTCAGCTGTGTACCCACCCTCCCTAACACACAAACAGACTGATGAAAGGAGAAACTAAAACAAACAAACAAAACAAAAAGACTTTCAACAAAGGCTATTAACAAACTGATTCTAAACTTCAGGCAGAGCTCACGGCTGCAATCCCTACTCAGAGAACTGAGGCAGGAATAGACAGAAAAGGAAACTATCCTTCAATAGCATACTGGCTATACACTGTTACAGCATGGCTCAAAATCATTAAATTTCTATCTGCTTTTGTAGTACTTACTACATACAGGTTGAAGCTCACAAATATGAGGCAAGTACTTTACCAATGAACTACATCCCCAGCCCTTTGGATATTTTTTATTTTGGGACAGATTCTCACTAAGTATACAAACTGGTCTTGAACTTGATTTGTAGATCAGATGAACTTTAAATATTAGATCCTCATACCTCAGTCTCCCGAAAAGTTAAGATAACCTGTGCTACCAGGCCTACTTTAAATTTATAGTGTAAGTACTCCTCATGATGTTCATTTTCCAGTAACCAAAGAGGCCAGGACTCTCCCTAGCTGCTATGAGCAAAAGAACTTAGTCAGCACCAGACATCCTGAACAGTGTTCCATAGATGCATTTAGAAAACTATACAACTATCATAAGTAGTTGCCTCAGCTCTGAAGGCAGAGCCACAGGCAGAACTGTTTAAAACAGTTATATTAGACTTACACTGTGTTATCACTAGCCTTGAGGAAATCTAGATTAGAGCTTCTTAGAATTTTAGCACTCACAACCCCCTTTGCCTGAGATTTCTTGTTTTGTTTTGTTGGTTTTTCAAGACAGGATTTCTCTGTGTAACAGCCCTGGCTGTCCTGGAACTCCTCTGTAGATCAGGCTAGCCTTCAACTCAGAGATCCACCTGCCTCTGCCTGCAGAGTGCTGGGATCAAAGACATGACCGTCCAGCTCTTTTTTTTGTTTGGTTTTTTTTGTTTTTTGTTTGTTGTTGTTGTTTTCAAGACAGTATTTCTCTGTATAGCACTGGCTGTCCTGGAACTCTCTCTGTAGACCAGGCTGGTCTCGAACTCAGAGATCTGCCTGCATCTGCCTCCCCAGTACTGGGATTAAAGGCATGGGCCACCATTGCCCAGAATCTGAGAAAGTTTTATGTGATTCCAGGTATACAGGTCTATAATACAGATATGTAATTGGGCATGATATTCCAGGTCTATAATCCCAAAATTTCAGGTCACCCTCAGCTACACAGTGAGTTTAAAGCCAGACTGGAATACAGATACACTGTCTCAAAAAGAAAAAAAAAAAAAAAAATTTAAAGTGGGAGTGGAAGAGTAACTCAGTTGGTAGAGTGATTACTTAGCACACACAAAACCCGTATCAATCCCCTGCACCACATATAGGTATAGACACCTATAATCCCAGAATTTGGAAGATCAGCCAAGCACAAGGTCATTCTCAGCTACACAAGAGTTCAAGGACAGCCTACACTAAAGCCTCTGTCCAAAACGCAAAGGTACAAAAATCTAACATTTTCTGATAAATCATAAAGGAGCATAAAGCAACTATTTGGCATAAATATAACTTTTTCATTCATTGACGGTGAAAGGAAATTTTCAGTAGAAATGGATATGCTATGCTTATTTATTTTCACATAAACATCTTGGATATATAAAAATATATTCATAAAACATCTTCAAGGTTTTTCAGAGGTAACCAATATTTTGATCTTATAACTATCAATCTGAGAGTGCTACTTTGCAAAAGTACATAGCATAAAATGAGAAAACATCTTAGAAACTCTCGGAAATTCTGTTCTTATCCCACACTAAAATTCATTTGAACAACTTTCTAAGGAATTTAAGTCAGCAACTCAATCAGCATT